AATCAAAGCACCACCTTCTTTGATATGCTTTTTGCAATATACTCGATCACTTTCGAGAGGATGTTACAGGTGACGTTTGCGAGAGGGATTGCTTTATCGGCGTAATCGTCTTCGATCACGTGTGCTACGATCTGAAACTCCCGAGTCACCGCTTCTTCGACCTCAGCATCGGAACTCGTCAACAAAAAATCTTGTTCTTGGAAGATGAAGACGAAGGACCCAAGTTTAGAATGGTTAAATTGACATTTCACCTAATCAAAAGACTATTTTTCTAATTTTGAAATATTTGGCCTATTTTTTTAATTTCTAATAAAATTTGGTCTATTTCATTAATTCCCCCCTTTTTTATAAGTATGTGAATATCAATTAGAAAATGAACGTTTTGGTTTTACAATTTGCGGATACAACTATGCGAAACCTAGATGATTGGTGTTAATAGTAACGTTTATGTGTTTCGAGAAAAAAAGTAACGTTATTGTGTTTAATAACTGCTCAGACTCTAAAAACGTTTCGCTATTGTTGTTTTCCTTTCCCAAGGTTAACCGTTTTTTTCACATTGTACTCCTTCTTCCCAAAGAACAGCTATTTTTTCAAGGTACTTAAAAAAGTTTTGGTTTTCATAAAGATACTACTAATACAGATATATCCAAAAAGTAATAGTATAGATTCATGTCTATCTCTCTAGAATGTGATTGGTAAACAATTAGAGAAAAATATTTTCATTCCATATATTCTGGGCCCACCAAAAAAAAGTTACCATCCTTTTTTTTTACTCACAAGATTTCTTTCTTTTTCAGAAGTAAACATTCTACTCAAAAATCATGGTAGAAATTTTTTTTCTCATATCTCTCTTTTAAAAGGAGTCTTTTGTGGTGAGACCATAGTAGATGAAAATAATTTTCTCTCTCAATCACACTATATATATATATCAGTCCTCTTTCACTTTCTCTCTCTCCCTCTTTGTAGTTTTTCATTATTAGTCATTTTCTCTAACCTCTCAAAGACAGAATCATATGTATTAACATCACACACAAGAGTTTCAGTTTGTGGTGCACACACAAAGCTCGTACAACATTTTTCTTCATGGCTCTTCGGTGCTTACTTCAGTCCTCAACAACTTCCTCTTATCTCTCCAAGGTTTGTACTTTCTTCCAATAAAAGATTCTGCTCTTCTTTTTCTTGTTTTCTATACAAGAATGAAACAACTACTGTATTTTGATATAATTTTTTAAGTAAGAAAAAAGAAGAAGATATTTTCTTTGTTTGAAGCTCACGCGGGTGTGTGTTTGTTTGGTATGCACATGAATAATACAGATCTGTGGAATTCGTATGCATGGGACCAAGGCAGCAGCTGCAGCTTCTGTTGTAGAAGAACATGTCTCAGACATGGTGGGGGGAGAACGGTAACTTTACTTTTCCATGTCTAGTATAACTGTATAACATTTGTCCTCTCTTTTTCATTGTCACCAGCACCACTCGAATTTACAAGAAAAACGTAAAAAAAACCGAAATGGGAAAAATAAATAAAAAGAGAGAGTAAAAAAAACAGGGGAAATTTGGCTCAATAACAAAAAAAAAAAAATTATAATTCAAACTATAACCATTTGCCCTAATTCTAGTGTATCCCATTAAACCACATATGCTCATTTTAGTTACTTAATGAATTATTAAAAAAATTTGGGTTATTCTTGCAAATGACCCAAAAAAACAGATGCTAAAGGTGTGCTACTAGTTAAATTAAATCTTGTGACCTCATTGTTACAAAAAAAAAAGGTTCAATTATTGTGTTAGAAGTTTATTTCAGCAAAAAAGTTAGTTGTATTAAACATGTATGTATAAAAATTTATATTTTTTGTGTAGCGGTGAGGATGAAGAGTATGCTGATGTGGATTGGGACAACCTCGGATTCAGTCTTGTACGGACAGATTACATGTATACCACCAGAAGTTGCAGTGAAGGAAACTTCGAACATGGTTGCCTTAGCCGTTACGGAAACATCGAGCTCAACCCTGCTGCTGGAATTCTCAACTATGGCCAGGTCAAATCTCATCCAAAAATCACTCAAATTTCTCATATACTAAAAGCTTTTCTGGTGGATTTTTGCAGGGACTAATCGAGGGAATGAAAGCGTACAGAGGAGAAGACGATAGGGTTCTTCTCTTTCGTCCTGAGCTAAACGCGATGCGTATGAAGTATGGAGCTGAGAGAATGTGTATGCATTCTCCTTCTGTTCAACAGTTTATTGAAGGTGTTAAGCAGACCGTTCTTGCAAACAAACGTTGGGTAAAGAAAACATTTTCGATATCTTTTGCTCCTCGAAATGAGGTTTAGTTTGTATTTATGACTCAGGCTTCTTTTTGCATTAGGTTCCTCCTCCAGGGAAAGGCTCGTTGTATCTCAGACCGTTGTTGTTCGGGGGTGGAGCAAGTTTGGGTGTAGCTGCAGCATCAGAGTACACGTTTCTTGTGTTTGGTTCTCCTGTTAAAAACTACTTTAAGGTCCATAGCTTTGAAATGACTTCTTCTTCCTTTTTAACAACGAGATCGGTTTTGATCTTGATTCTTGAATCTGATTGCTTGTATAGGAAGGCACATCGGCGTTAAACCTGTACGTGGAGGAGGTGATTCCACGCGCATATATTGGAGGAACTGGTGGTGTTAAGGCAATTTCTAATTACGGTCCAGTAAGTTAAAACAGTCGATCCTTTTCGATGATGATCGATTGAGAATGTGCTAAGTGATTGTCGTTTTGGTAATAAACTGTGCAAAAGGTGCTTGAAGCGATGAGAAGAGCGAAATCTAGAGGGTTTTCGGATGTTTTGTATCTTGATGCAGAAACTGGGAAGAACATTGAAGAAGTCTCTGCTTCTAATATATTCCTTGTGAAGGTAGAAAAGAAACTCTGTTTAAGAGAAAAGTTGAATGCTTTGTTTCTAGTGAAAGTATTGTGTGATAACTGAAGTTTCTTGAGTCTTTCAGGGGAATACTATAGCGACTCCAGCTACGAACGGAACGATTCTCGATGGGATCACGCGAAAGAGCATAATCGAAATCGCCCTTGATCTTGGTTACAAGGTTAGTCATAATTTATTGCACATCTTTGCTCCTCTAACTCTGTTTCCATTCTTGAGTCCAAGACAGAGCTATACTCTGTTTCCTATCATGAGTCAAAACAGAGCTATATGTATGAATCATTAGAAAAGTTTATATTTGTCACTTTGGATTCAAGAAACAGAGTGTCTTCTTTGCTCTGTTTCTGAATTTTCCACATCTGCTGCAATTCTTATGCATATAATGAAACTATACGAACCAAATACACCATTTATAATCCATGGAAGAAGTATTGAGAAGTGTGTAATGGACAGGTGGAAGAACGAAGGGTTCCTGTAGAAGAACTAAAGGAAGCAGAAGAAGTTTTCTGCACTGGTACTGCCATTGGAGTTGCTTCTGTTGGAAGCATCACATTTCAGAACACAAGGTCTCTTCTTCTACTTCTTCAATTTCTCCACATACGTGTATTATGGTTAGACTCAGAGTTAAAACATATAAATATATATGTTGATAATTTTGCAGGACTGAGTACAATGTGGGAGATGCGCTTGTTACACAGCAACTTCGATCTATTCTTGTCGGAATACAAACTGGTTCCATCCAAGACACTAAGGATTGGGTTTTGCAGATTGACTAATTTGAGAGAATTTTTCTTTTGTTTGTTAAGTTGTGCACTCTTTGATGTATCAAAATACTTATTTAGAACTTTGCATTACCCTTTCTCTTTAAAATATTGAAGACATTTTAGGTTGCCAAAGCACAGCCCAAAAGCCTGTAACAAAAATATCAAATTAGGCCCATTAAGGCCCAAAACTATGTTAAAGAGTGTTTAGAAACCCTTACGCAGCTGCAATAAAGCGCCGCTAATTGAGCTTCTCGAGGAAAATTCCGACGATGGCAGAACGAGGTGGTCAACGCGGCGGCGAGCGCGGTGGTTTCGGGCGTGGATTCGGTGGTCCGAGAGGAGTACATGTACATCGTAGAGGCCGAGTCACGGAGGAGGACAAATGGGTTCCAGTGACCAAGCTTGGTCGTCTCGTGCAGAACGGTAAAATCCAGATGTTAGAACAGATCTATTACCATTCTCTTCCCGTTAAAGAACATCAGATCATCGATCTACTTGTCGGTCCTTCGTTGAAAAACGAAGTGATGAAGATAATGCCTGTTCAGAAACAAACCAGAGCTGGTCAGAGAACGAGGTTTAAGGCCTTCATTGTCGTCGGTGACGGTAATGGTCATGTTGGATTGGGAGTGAAATGTTCTAAAGAAGTGGCTACTGCCATTAGAGGAGGGCTTATTCTCGCTAAGCTATCTGTGATTCCAGTGAGAAGAGGTTATTGGGGTAACAAAATCGGGAAGCCACACACTGTGCCTTGTAAGTTGACTGGGAAATGTGGTTCTGTTACTGTGAGGATGGTTCCAGCTCCGAGAGGTACTGGTATTGTGGCGGCTAGGGTGCCTAAGAAGGTTCTTCAGTTCGCTGGAATTGATGATGTCTTTACCTCTTCAAGAGGATCTACTAAAACCTTTGGGAACTTTGTCAAGGTATAATCACTTGGGCTTTAAGCTTTGAAATGTGAGCTTTGAGCTCCTATGGTCTGCAATAGTAGCTCAATGATTAGTTTCATTTAGTTAACTTGTTTCTATGTGATTAGGGTTTACTTTGCAATATTTTGCTAGGATTGTTGTAGCTTAGCTTTAGGTATGCAAGCTTTGAGCTTTCTATGCATGAATTGTGATTGCTTCTTTGTCTCTGTATTATAACAAGACTTTGAGATGTAACCTTGAATTATCTATATCCTTATGTGTGCGTAATTGCAATTTGCAAGATGGGCATAGAGAGTAGTTGAATTAATATTTTTCATCCTATTATTGATTGCTTTAATTAGTGGATTTTTCTCGCCGGTTATGATCGATGTTTGTTGTTTCTCTGTGTTGCACACATGCTACCTTTGATTGCCTTGAGAAGACTTACGGGTTCCTTACACCCGAGTTGTGGAAAGATAGGAATATTATGCAATCACCCTTCCAAGAGTACTCTCATATCTGGCCAAACCATGTGTGGAGGAGAAGCAAGCCAATCGCAGAGGTCGAAGACCAAGCCTAGTATATTAACAACGCTCTTCATTTTTTTCTCCTTCATGAATCAAGATCGATTTTTTTTGTTCGAAATCATGCTGCTTAGTTAGTTGTATAGGTTTGCCACCAGTTTTCCAAATTATCTGGTGAAATCTTTTTTATAGATTTACCTCACTTTAGTGATACGTTTTAATCACTTTGAATCATACTTACTAAACGCGTAATCCAAAGCAGTA